TGAAGGTGAAGATGATGAAATAATTCAAAAGGAGTCTGAACCTGATTCATCTAATAAAAAATATAAAAGGTAATTAAATTCATTGCAACTTGCAACTATTTTATTACATGAAAATATTAATATTAACAAAATATTATATTTCACTTTAGACCTAAATTGACACCTTTATAGTTCGTCATAATAGTAGAATTAGAAAAAATATAAAAAAATAAATTATTGTGTATAAATTATTATTATCTTTATTGTTTATTTTATTTATTTTATTTATTTCATTTATTTTATTTATTTCATTTATTTTATGTATATATCAAAAAAAAAAAAACGCCATCAAAAAAATTTTTTTGCAGATCCCTGTCCCCTGTCCTTTTCCAGGAATATTGAAAAGCACAGGGTACAGGTCACCTGTGCCTTGTTTGCGCAACGCCTGTCCCCTTTGCTTTTCAAGATTTTTCACATATTGCCTGTGCTACTCATCTTTTCTAGATTTGATGGTGAAATCTTGAAAAGCACAGGGGACAGGCGAATTTTGCAGATCCCTGTACCCTGTGTTTTTCTAGCATCCCAAATTAATGCAGACACCAATTGATATACAAAGAATTTGACCATAGGGTCTTTTATTATTAAAATTAGCAAATTACAAAAGTAATTGGTTATTATTAAAATTAGCAAATTACAAAAGTAATTGGTGATAATTATTTCTAACTAATCTATCCGCCCTAGTTCCAAGTTGTTCCACTGTTAAACAATGGGTGGCTAAAAAATTGAGTTAAGACACGTTTTGTTTTATATCTGAGTATTTCTTCTTCAGTCATAGTATCAAAAAAATCTTCCATAGGAGCTATATCAGAACTTATGTCGGAAGTCGTATGCTTAAATTTTTGTCTTTTTGGCAACGGTTCTTCTACTTCTGCATTTGCTCCTTGATCCGCAAATTCCATATTTTTTTGTATAAGCGCCACAGCCTTACCTCTAGGAAGGGTGAATGTCATAATCTTGCTTCCTTCAAACCAAAAAAACTGCCAATCATCTATCAAGTCAGTTAATACTGCTAACACGGCATATTTAGATTTTAAATCTGCCGTAGTTAATTTTGCCATAGCTTGATATACATGTCCCTTAATAATGTTCTTCTTTAAGTCAAAAACAATTCGGATATGATGTTCTTGGAGTCTGGTAGAAATAGAACGCCTGTCTATTATAACGGCATCTGTTGTACCAAAGAGTCTTATTGGCAAGATACCACCAACTAGGCCAAGAAAATTTTTATCATCAGTTGTATCATAAAGTTCAAGTGAGCGATAACTGGAAATTTTGAGTATATTCCTGAGATGAGATAAATATCTATCTTTTTGTTCCCTTTCTTGTCTACCATTCCATTGGTAAGCAACAATATTCTCTGTGTCATACTCTACATCAAGATTTGCTGTTTCGATATCAAGACCAGTAGATTCTTGAATCCTTTGCCAATCACTACGGTTAACACTTGATATTGCTACTTCAGATTTATGTTGCTGTTTGACTAAATGTAGAATCTCATCAATCTTTTCGTCTTTGGTTTTTTTCTTAATAACTGAGACATATGGCAAAAAAAGATGAAAATTACATAGTGAGTAAAAATGTTTCATCACAGGAGATATTAATAATATGAGGGAAAATAGATTAAGTGAATAAAAAGCTAAACCATAATTTTATTATGATTCACTTACCAGGTGGGTGTTCAACAATTATGTGGATATGCTTTTTTTCTGGTATGTCAGAAAAGTACTCGTCAATTTCCAAATCCGGGCGCATCTCCATGCCTCCTAGTTGTTCTTTGATCACATCACATGTCTTGTCTCTAAGTACACTCAGCTTCTCATTTGGTTCGTCTAAAGAAATGTCAACTTTCCACAAGTTAAGGTCTTTGACTGCAACATTGTTGAAAAAGGGCTCTTGGCTATTCTTGATGACTTCCTTAAGTTCACTAACTTTTTTGGTCTTGTCAATTTTAATTTTGAAAATATTGTTATAAGGGTCCTCATCTTCTACCAAACAAATTAAAGTAATAATATTCATAATAATAACTATTTATTGGTCCTGTCTAAAACTTTGAAGATTAGAGATATTTAATACAATCAGGGAATTTACTAAATATTCTAGAACTATCTATGCCTCTTTGTTGATCAATTTATATATCAGTCAGATGACATTTCACGCGATCAACATGTCTACTGTAATATGTAATAACTATCTATGTAGAAATTTTGTGCAACATGTCAATTTTTACTACTTTTTCATTTGTTACCTAGCACACCCACATGAAGTTTTAACCAGAAATGTGATATTTTGTACACACATTCTTTGAGACTTATTTATTTCCTTGCAAAATTTTAGCTATGGTTTACTAAAAAAATGGAAAAGAATTACTTGTTGAAAGTTACGCCTTCAATTCTTAATCATGTTACAACAAATTATTTTGAACTTGTAATTTCAATAAAACAATAAACAAGAAGCCACCATTTGGTTTTTAGAAATAATATTACATTGGGTTGGTGAGGCATGGACAATGGAAGCAAGGTCAACTTCTATGATCCACATCTCAAATGTATAATTCCTTAGTAAATAAAATAATTCTTTACTAATAAGCTTTGTTTATCAATAGAAAAATTCACATTATATTTTTTACTTGTAAAAGAAAATGCATGATTATATATATATCTTTTAATTCAACTAGCATAGTGAGTTTTGGAATAACTATTACTACCACATAAAATCAACCTTATGGATGGATATATTTATGTCTAAGAAAACTAAAAGGTAATAATAATAATTTAATGGGTTAAAATAACTCTCACTACATTAATAAATGAATATATTTAATATTGTATTTAATATAAATCAGTAAATAATTATATTGTTTTTTATTATATGAGTCAGATATGAAGTACAAGAATATATAACAATAATTCAGCAAACACACATAACCATAAATCAGAGCAGAATGTCATCCTAATAGTGGTATTTTCATTCCAATCAGTTCAGTATTTTTATTAATTAATCAAATTTAAAAAAATCAAAGAATTTTAACACAAGCAGTTGATGTTTTAAATTGTAGGCGATCTTTAAAGTCTCTATAATAAACAATATGTAATTTTTCAGTATGATGGATGATGGAACTTCAGCTTTCTAATGACTATAAGATTGTCAATTTATTCCAAAAATTGAAATATTAACAGCAAATATTAATTTATCAATTATAGTGTAAATTGATTGAAAAAAAAATTTTTTTTTTCATTTATTCTTTAAATTTTTATATATGAGGAAAGAAGTTACAAACTGATATAATTCAATTTAATTTACATTTATTAATCAAAAATTATTATACATAGAAAAATCTATTTAAATTACATGATTCATGAACATACAATAAAGTTAAGAGATTACTGGTATGATAATATGAAAAAAAAAAAATTATAATGTTAATATAAAACTCAGTGAGATCACAAACTTTTCTTTAGTGGTGCCATATAATCATTTAAAATATTTTTTTCATATTTAATTTTTAACATGTAACAAATAATCAATTAAATATTGACAAAAAAAAAAAAAAATCTAATATATTAATTAAATTCATTTAATATAATTTTTGATACCTAATACTAATATTTAATAGTTTTCCTTTTTGTTATCTGTTCATTCAATTTTGAGATTATCTTGTTTTTCTTATTTTTGTCATTAATTCATACTATCTTAAA